GTGGGGCCCAAAGCACAAACAAGGGCCCTGGACAGGTCCCAAGAAAGGGGCAGACAAATGTGCAGAACAAGGACAGATGGAGTTAATCATGGAGCAAAGAGCACCTCCTGCTGCAACCAGCCAATCAAACCGGCCAAACCATGTCCCAGGCAATTTCCTGGGCAGCCTTCGGAGAGGCACCCAGCCCGAGAAGCCAGCCAATGATGTGGATCATTCTCTGAAGCCCTCTCCTTACAAAAGACAAGTCCAGACCGACCCAATGTGGACAAATGGATAGTTCTATTTTCTCTGAGCAGCAGTCTAATTTCCTTCCAATTTTAAAGTCTCCACAGTTTCCTAACAAGCCTCCATGGGGCTCATGTAGAAATTAATAAGTTCAAAATGTACCCAATTTGCTTTCATTATCATTTTTTTTGCCATGCAGTGGATAGAATTTTCATTATTACTCAAGGATTTTTCTGTATCTGATTCTTTTAAAAGGTCATGTCCACTGGGTTCAGATACTGGGTTGAGAATTAAATCAGGTCTAATGGACTTAACTGAGGTCCGAGGGAAGTCTCTTGGACTAAGAGTTGGTGCCTCTACTAATCAGGTGGGGCAGGTACAAACGGTAATATAATAGGAAGAGGGACTCAGAGCAGGTGGAGAGGCGCAGCCGCACAGCTAGCCTGCTCTGAGATACTGAGCAAGTGGCGGGGTCTCTCTGTGAGTTAGATGTCTCATCTATGAGGCAGGCAGAGAGAAGGATCTGGAAAAGAAAACTAAACTTTATTAAACTTCTACATCTTGAATCACTACAACATGCATCAAAGACGGTCTTTAAATTTAATCAAAACAGCAACCCTGGAAAGCTTATATTATTTTATCGATGAAGACAGTGAGGCTCCTGTAATTGGTGATTCCATTATATTGTCACTAAATCACTAGCTGTGTACCATTAATGGGAATGTAAGCTGTACAGCCACTAAAGAAAATAGTATGGAGGTTCCTAAAAAAATTAAAGATAGAACTACCATAGGATCCAGAAATCCCACTTCTGGGTATATAAAATCAGGATAGCAAACAGATATCAATGCTCCCATGTTCACTGCAGCATTATTCCTGATAGCCAAGATATGAAAACAGCCTAAGTGCCTGCCAACAGATGAAAGGATAACGGCATCTATGTGAATGCAATGGAATTCTATTCCGGCACGAGAAAGAAGAAAATCCTCCCATTTGCTACAATATAGATGGACCACATTGAGGATATTATGCTCAGTGAAATAAGCCACAGAGATAGACAAATACAGCATGGTGTCACTTATGTGTAGGTTCTTTCATATGGCCTCACTTATATGTGTTATCACTATTACGTGGAATCATTTATATCACATACATGTTGTCACTTATATGTGGATTCACTTATAAGTGGAATCAGCTTTGAAAAGCCAAACTCACAGACACAAAGAGAAAAATAGTGGTGACCAGGAGGGGAGGGGACATAGGGAGATGTTGATCAAAGGGGAAAAACTTTCAGTTATAAGATGTCTAAGTTTGGGGAATCTAATGCATAGCATGATTACTATAGTTAACAACACTGAGTTTGATACTTGAAAATTGTTAAGAGAGAAGATCTTAAATGTTCTCACCACACAAACACATACACATAGTGGTAATTATGTGAGGTGCTGGACGCGTTAGGTAAGGCTATGGTTTAATCATTTTACAATACCTATACTTATCAAATCAATACATTGTATACTTTAAACTTACACCATGTTATATGTTGATTCAATAAAGTTGGATAAAAGAATAATAAACTATAGAATATTAATTGAATAGGGAAGCATTTATCCACTTAACCAGATGCATAACAGTATTTAATAAAATGGTGCATTTTTGTTTTTTTAGTGGGAAAAAATAAGTTATAATATTGACTATAAGATAGAAAACAAAGTAGAAAAATCAGTGGAAGGGAATACACTAAACTGTTAACAGAGGCTCTGGGGATAAGAAAACATTTTTCATACTTTTCTTGGTGCTTTGCTATATTTCTCACATTTCCTACAATAAACACTTATTATTGTCAAAATCAGGAGCTATACAAGAAAAATAATTTTAAAGCCCTGCATTTATATGGAAAACGGAATCATGCTTTTTATTTAAGCAAATGACACTTTACATAGAAAATTTTCTTTAAAATTTTTTTAAAGCAGAAGTGGAAATCACAAGAAAAACAAACAAACAAAAATAATACAAACGGAACCATCGCCCCCAAAGCTTCTAGCTTACCTCGCAGGCTAAATTGGAAATCCAGACCAGTGGGAAAGGGGTGGAACGGGACAGAATACAAGAGCAGTTGATAAGGGGGGACTAGAGGCTGCAGTTGACTTCAAGGAGTGATGGAGCTGGCAGATATGAATTTTTCAATTTTATGAGAATGATAGGGATCTGAAATAAATCTGTATTTTCTTTTTAAGATAAATGTTTTAAAATAAACGCTTGCAGCATAGATGGATGGCTGGTGCCTGTGTTCTGCCTTAGAGCTAATCATAAATAACATGGAGAAAAATAGCTTTGGCCATTTTAAAAAGCATCTTTCTTTTTTGCTCTTAAGAGCTTGGAAGATTATATTTTGATGCATTAAGCAAGAATTTCTTTAATACAGCAGCAAATATCAGGGGTAGTATAGAAATTGCCTTCAGATGAAAATAACGAGTCAGGGCTTGGTTTAGAAGTAAACCTTCATTTCAAGATGTGCCCGGAAACCCATGGGCACATACGATGGTTAGAATACAAATTCAAGTTTAATTGCATCTGGTAGGTTTATGATTGAAGGAAGTCCTTTGGTGACGCTTCAGGTAAAATTGATAATTGTCCCTGAGGCCTACCTCCAAAGAAGGTAAGTGATCTTTTGTAAATCTAAACTTTCAAGGATCAGATTTGCTTGAAATGGTCCTTCCACTCCCCCATCCCCCCACCCCTACCCCCATTTTGGTCTGTATATTAGAAAGCTTATCATTGGACTGCAGAACAGTTTTTCAACCACTTTCATTTTCTAGTTCACTAAATGATGAAACAGGGCCGTGCCGAGGGCAGACATAACAATCAGACACCTCCCTCATCCCTTCAAGAGCTAGCCTCACTACACGAACGTGGCTTAACAGCATCCATTTGCTCACCATTTCAAATGTCATTGGTTTTGTCTGCTATGTTTTAAACAGGGATCACACAATGGGATGGAAAGGTGACTGAGAGGGCCTGCTGGGTGGAAGGATCTCTGCACATGGGCCCTGGGGTAGCAGAGGCGGAGGGAAGCCAGGAGCACATGGCGTGTCTGGAGAGGGAAGTCGCAACTGGGCTCTGCATTCTGACCTGATTCATCAACATCAACTAGAATCCTCCTTTTTTTATGCTCAATCTCCCAATCGCTAAAGGTTATGTCTGATTACAAAGCACACAGTGTAAGCCAACCCCAACATGTTCATAACCCAAACGTTTTTGCTAGTGTCTGTTTTAAAATCTCATTTCCGGAGATTGTTAAGAATTGCTGATTAACCCCAATACCGTTTAGTTATGTCCAAGAAAGAGATGAGTTGGGATATTCCCAGGCCGGCAAAGGGGTGGGGGAGACGCCTCGTCGTTTGTGGAAAAGACAGCGTGGGATTTATACTTCCCAGTGGAATCTGCTTGAGCTGAGACTCTGAGGACGGCAGGAGGATGTATGGGAATGTCCCAACTCCACTCACCATGGAAGTCACAGTCAGGTGGCCGCGGTGGTTATCGTTCAACATAAAATCAAGATAAAGCCTTCTTCTGAGAGCCCAGAGCATCTCCCCACGCTCTGCAAGAATGCCTATGGGTTTATCTTCACATCAGGTTGAATTTGCCCCATTTAACCCACCCCCTTGCTCCTCACTTTATAATATTCTGTAATGGAAAAAAGGCCCTTCACAAAGCTTATCTCTTCAAAGTGCAAAAGAACCAATTTTTTTTTCTGCCCAAGGAGCTCATAATGTAGCAGACAAACTGTCAGAAAAAATAGACTTCATCATGGTGAAAACCTCAGCCCGGCACCCATCTATCATAAAGCAATCTTCTAGAAATCTTGAAAACCTTCATTAAATTTCCTGTCTGTCTCCTGACAGTTATAAAATGTTAACAATATTACTCATGATGCAGGCATCTTCAGGAAGTCTTTGTTCGGTCTCTCCGCCCCCTGCCATCACCCATCCCCTTCTCTTTGCCAAAAATCCATGGAAACATGAGACACGGCCGTACGCTTCACACACCCCACCTGGGACCTGGTCTTTGCAGGTTAGAGAGGAAGTAGCCGTAGCCTTGAAAACAACGAGAAGGCTCTCTGTCCACAAGCTGCGCACCGCCAAATGGCACTGCCTTTGGGTTCCTCCTCCACACGCAACACCCACTTTGAAGCTCAAGGGCTCGGCTCTGTCCTGCCTTGAGCAGTATTTCCTGGCCTTTTTTCTTTCCC